TGCCAAGCGGAGGGAGAGAGGAAGAAGGGGAGAGAAAGAGAGAAGGGAGAATAATGGGCCCCCGATCTCGCGGCGAACCCATGACGGCGCCTGCACCTGGAGGGGGAGGGTCCCAAAGAGCGGGGCCTGACGAGAGTGGGGGCGCCCGGAGAGGGGAAACCCTGACGACTGCCTCGATGAAGAGAGAAGGGACTCGTCGCGACGCTTCGTCGGCGCGACTGGACGCGACGACCTCCTCGAAACTCCGGGAAGAGAAATTATACGCGCACATATGTAGGATAATTAACCAATGAAAAGGAAACAAAGAGACCGGAGGGAGCATTCTCCTCGTTTCTCCAAGTGGGAGGGTTCCTCTTTCCCCCCCTCCTTTCGGCGTTCGCGAAGTAGTTAAGCGTCGGTTTGGCGTCGTCACGGGCAAGACGGGAAGTGCGGCTGACGACGTCAGGCCCGTCCTCCGGTGGCGCTCGGCACAAGGGTGGAGGGAGGAGGCGGGGGGGGGAGGCGACTAATATCTCGTTCTTTTGTTGTGTTTCGCGGCAATTTGCAGGCTGCGCTCTCGCAACGAATTTCGGGCTGATTATTCGGGGCGGCGGTGGAGTGACGTCGTCGGCCGGATTAAAATGCTGCGCGTCGCGGCGGGGAGGAGGGACGACAACGGTGGGCGAGCGACGAGGGGGGTGGATCGCGAAACGTCATCCCCCGGGACCGGCGAGTCCCTCTCGCGGCGTCTTCCTCCCCCCCCCCCCCGGACTCCGCTCCTACCCCAATTCGGATACTCCTCTTTCGCGAAGGCACGCACCCCCTGGACCTGGATTTCCGTCACGCGCCATCCCCGTCCGGCGACGGTCCCGAAATGTAACATCCCCCTTAATGTAAGCCCACGTGTGAAAAAAAAAAAAATAATACTAAAGGGGAAGCGTATCCCACGAAACGCCACTTTTAACCGAAGACTAATCAATTACCATTTTGCCTTCTTGGTATTAAACACAATTTGCCGCGTCGTCGTATTAAATTGCGAATTTCCCCGGCTTAGCCGGGGTGGCGTTTTTTCGACAGTTTTTCGACCCCATCAACGCGACCCAAGACGATCTCGTCGATGGCACTCCACCGCGCTCGTATGCAGCAAATTGTTGCGCGGCGCATCCAGGGCGACACTGACGAAGCCGCGTTCATCGCGTTTCGTCATGTGGCGAGGATAATTAATGGGGGGCCGAGTTTTTACGACTATACAGCCGAGCGAGTGCGAGAGGCCCGGGTGTCGCGCTCGCTCGTGGTCGCTCCCATTCGCCCGATCCCCGCCTCGCGCCCCGAAGGACCGACCGCTGCCGAGTAATAATAATAAAAATTAATGCTTTCGCTTTACGGCCGCCATAAAGTGGCAGAAAACCGGGGAAAATCGCGGAGGAGCCGCCGGGCCAAACGTACGATGGGCCCCGCCAATCGCGCCCATCCAAACCCACGACCGGGTTCTTCAGGGCTTTGCCGGGGCCAGTTTCCAACCCCTTCCCCGGGGGTTGCATCGGGATGTTCCATCGCGCCAGCTCCGCGACCACCGGGGAACGAGGTTGGGCACCGAAATGGAGCAGTAATCCTGATCTCTCGTTGGCGAAAAATCGGTAAATCACCCGGACGACTTCGGTGCCGACGCCACCCGTCCCTTCCACCGTTCCAGGGTCCTCATCTCCTGGCTTCCCGTCGACGCGTGGGGAACGACCGTCTCCGAGACGAGGGGGAAGGTCGACGTTTCCCCGGAAGTCGCCCCGAAATTCGAGGTCAGATCCGGTCGGTGCACCGTCGATGGGTGCGCGGATGTAGGGGATGTGTAACGGTGGGTGGGACAGAAGGAAGTCCATCCTCCGGGGCGGTCATCCCCGGGTTTCCTCTCGTATTGACAGATATTTAAATGAATATTCCTAGGCTGTTGGGGATCTCTTTGAAATCAAAGCAGAAGGCTACCCTGGGTCCATTTAGACTTGCACCGATACCCTCTGCCGTCCGGCTGGGCTCGGGAGTGTAGGTCTCGCGTGTCATATCAGCCTTCGAATTTGACCAGACATCCAAGAGTCGAGGGGGGGGGGGACGTGTCTCTTGACGTGTCGCCACATACGAGAGGGTATATACGCGTGCCCACGGACAAAGCCACGCTCCCATTGATCCGGCGACCGATCGGATATTACGGACATGCCCCTTTCATATCTTCCACCCGGCGTCGTTATTAGTATCGGCCTTTGCTCTCTCCCTCGAAAGTGCGCTCTCTCTCTCTCCCTCCCTCCCTATCTCTTTCTCCTCGGTTAAATGAAAGTAAAGAAAGCAAAGATCCTGGACCCGCGAGCTCTGAGACCCCCCTGGGCAGACCAACCCCATGACCACCGTCTTCTTAAGACCCTTGGCCAAGGACCCGATTCTCGAGTTCGTACGATCAACACTCGTATGCAAATTTGGCAGTTTCTATGCCAAATTGACAGTTTCGTTTACGACATTCTAACGTTAATCAATGACGCGACTTTCCAACAATGCCAAATTTTTCATAGTATATTCGTATGCGGGAAAAATTTGTATGAGCTGAGTATAGTCAATTATCCTTCCGTCGGGAATTCTAGGATTTGAGAGACTCTCGTATCCTGCCGAAGCAGATATCGCTAATCGAATACTAACTTTCGATACTAAAGCGTCTCCAGGTGTTATCTCTCGGTTATGCCCCCAAACCCTGGAGTCGGTGTTCACGTGAATCGTGCGAGACCCGCGCGTGTCGTGACACCTGTACACGCCTTAAGGAATGTTGCGAGCAAGTGATGCGAGTACTTGCGATAGATTAAGGTCGATCTCGAGGTATTAATAATCCGCGGTTAATTGTCGCGGCCTCGGTCGGGCCTCCAATAAGAGAAGCGGCCGAAAGAAGTCGGAGGTTCTTCGATGTCAGCCATTTTGGGCTACTCTGAGGAAACTCTACAAAGGACCTATTAACACCGGATTCCAACTTAACAATGTGGAGACTATTTTGCAACGATAATTTACTATGTAGAGCCTAGTCCTCAATTGCCGTGGAAAACGAAGAATCGGATAAAATTGCACCGCATGTATATTTAAAAAAAAAATTCCCATGGATGATGCGTTCCCTGTATCAGGGCTTGTAGGGTCCCAAGGTGGAGTCGCAGGGTCTAGGACTAAACCCCCTCGCGGGATAAATTCTTATGTGAAAATGTAACGATTCGGAATTATTTATTCAGGCATACGAGGGGCCGATAAATTTCATCGGCGCAATATCCGCGCGACCCTAGGGTCGCGCACGCAGCGGGCGCGATGGTCGGGCCCGGGGTCGGGCAGGTCGTCTGGACCAACCCTCGGACACGGGCCAAGAAATGCACGACCGTCCGGTGATTGATTTAGAATGACCGGCTCTCGGTTACTCGCGTTTACATGAGTAACGACTGCCGGCAGGAGAGCCGGAGGTGAGAGAAGCCTCCACTCCGTGGAATCGGCGCGCACCGAGGGGACGCCGGTGTTAAGGCGGCCCAAGAATTTATTATGAAAGTCCATTAAGAATATTTATACGCGCCGAGTCGGCCGCGGCGTAGCCGCGCCAAAAGGGAGAAACTCGACGGAGGAATTGAATTAATCGACGAGGAAATAACTAACGACGATGAATTAACTAAGCGCGCTCGCCGGCCATTGCCGGGTTCGGAAGGGACTATATCCAAGCCTTAAGGGCGTTTTCCGGCATTGTATAAATAGTATGAGCTTTTCTCGCCTTAAGGGCGATTTTTCACCTTGCGGGATTTTTTCACTGGCGGTCGAGAACGAGCGGAACCAAAATGCGGGGAATTTATTAAAGAGGAAACGACCAGCGAGGATGCGCGCCGGCCGTTCTCGCGTTCTCCAGTGGAAGGGACTTTCCGCGGCTTACGGGCGTTCCCCGCATCTGGAGATTCTCGCGGCCGAGAGTGCGCGGAATCGCCTCCGCCCGAGCATCGTCCGAGGCGAGCGAAGGCGAGCGAGTCCTCGCCCGGCGACTGATTAGCCGATTCCTATGCTCGGGCGAGCGCGTAAATCAAGGCGAGCGCGCACGGCGAGCGACGCGACCTCACTCTTCGGACACGAAACGCCGCGTCGCCCGGCGAGAAGCGGCCCGGTATATAAATGACCGATTTACGGCCGTCGGGCGGACGCAGGTGACAATCGGCAGTAATGAGCTGCGGGAACGGAACTCGGGGGCACCGGGCGATCGCCCGATGGGAACGGGCTTAACGTCCGCCGCAGGTCGGCTTGGCTTGCCGACGTGTCTCCGGGATCTCACGCCACGAATCGCCACGGAAATGAACGAGGAAAGATGAGAATTAACGAAACAAAACTCACCCTTGCCACCCTTAAGGCGGTCGTCATCTTCCTCGCACTTCGCGTACACGCGGCTTGTAAACTACCACGATAATTAGCAAACGGTAAAGGAAACGCGCGAGAAATCGGAAAGAAATGGCCAAAGACCCCGAAAGGAAAATCGAAGATTAAGCCCGTAAAACCGTCGCGCTCTATATCCGGGGCTCGACCCTTAAGGCAGTCGCCGACCAGGTCGATCGCGCAAAAGGCAAGTGATAATCAGCAAACGGAAAAGAAGTACGGTAAAAAGTGGAGAGGGGAAAAATCTTAGACACGTAAATCGGCATCGTTTCCTCGTAAGGGATTTCACCGGGTCCGGCCCTTAAGGCCGTACAGCCAGACCGGCGTTAGAGTTTCCGCCGGCGATAGCGAGAGTCCTCGGATCGGCGCCTGCGCCGATCGGGCGTTCTCGTCGGCGCCGTAAATTACCGATTTACGAGACGGTCGTGCCCGGCGACGATGATAATCGGCTAATGAGTCGCAATTTGTGGAGGCGACGGCGTGTGTATACAACGGGGGTACACTCCACTCGCGTTAACTGGCGTGGCCGAGTCTCTCACCTGTCGCGCCCGGGGACACGTCGGCGTCTCGTTAAAGGTTTTGAATAAGATTGCGTGTGTCATATTTACCGGTAACGTTATCGCCGCGTTGCTGCGGCCACCGGAAGGAAGGCCTCGGTTGCTGCTTGCTGCGCATATCTCCCGTCGGCGGGCCGATTTTCGATATTTCGGGACCACTACTTACCTGAAATCAGGAGAAGAAAGGGCGTCAAATCGTTTACAAAGGTTCATCCGGCGGATTAACTAAATCGAGGGAGGGACTCCGATCGAGCGGAGTCGATCATCGCCGATTACCCCCCGGTGGAGACGGCACCGAAACCGTTAACGAGAATTAATACGTCCTGCCGTTAATTAAGATTCCCGTGTGCCGCAATTTGCGGCCCGTCGTGTCGCGGTGTAAATTCCCACCCGTCCGATTTACGCGTATCGCCTTAAAGGCTAGGAGGCGATCGTCGCCGAGGGAGGCGCCACGGGCGTCCTAATGCCGGTTGGGAACGGCGTTTTGGGCCGTGGTACCCATCTAGACGAGGCAATACGTTTCGGTCGCGGGTCCCTGCCAGGGTCGTAGGCACTCCCGGTGCCATTCTACCAGCCGTATATCTCTCAAGCCGTACGCCCTCGAAAAGCGGCTGCCTTTGTTTCAGATATTTATGAGGCGTTTTAATTCGCATGGTGCGTCACCCCGACTGGGGTGGCGCCGAAGAGGAAGAGGTCGGAGGGAAATAATAGGCATAAGGGTGCCCCGATAAAACCCCGCCACCCACCCACCGCCCACCCGGACGCGGCCCGCGAGCGCCAAGTGCAAACAAACCCACCCCCGCCTATTTCGATACGTGAACCAACCCCCGAACCGGGGTACGGTCGCGTTAACCGGGAATAAGTGCCCGATGTTGACCACTGACCCCCGCGTAGATGGACTAGGCACCGAGGGGTGAAAAGGAACCAACCCTTCTGGATTAAGTACCCTGGGAACGTCGAATGAAGATAGTAAGAACGGTCCCGATCGTATCCTCGGATCGCGTGATTTGGCAGAGCCTTAGAAATTTCTACTCGAGTTGGAACTTGGAATTACCGATTTAAATGACATTTGAGAATATGTGAAGGATTTTTATACGACGGGGGTTCGACTTTGGGCCTTAAAAGTGACGGACCAAGTTCCCGCCAAATATGTATACGCCCGAAACCCTGACCTAGGCATTGCCTGCGATGCTCGGTCAAAGGGTCGTCCTGGTATAGAGACTCGGTTTTTCGCGATCTTGGGGCGAGACGCCTCCGAAAGTCAATCGCCTCGGTAACCCAGTGCCTGGGTACCCACTCTCCGCAGTGGAGTTAGGTACCTATACAGTCGAGTGCGGATACAAACGTGCACTCGATCCATCCATCCATCCACCACCCCACCCGTCCACTTTCACCCCTTGCGCCCTCGCCCTCGGCACGTCACGGCGGAGTCCGCACTCGGTTCTCTCTCTCCGAGGCATTCCCGTCCCCATCGGGCGCTCTCTCTCGTTCTCTCCCTCCTTACGTGTGCAGCGAGTTTAACGGTAACGGTACGTCACCCTGTCCGTCTCGCCCCTTCCCATTCGCCGTCTCCCTCGTGGTCGCGGCCGCCTCGTCCATCCGTCCTTCTCCGCCTCCCTCCGTCCTCCTTCTCGCTCTCCCCCTCCCGGTATCTCGCCTTCTCTCTCGCTCTCCTTAACAGCCTTCACTCTCTAAAAGCCTGGGTGTGATCTATGGCGGGACGTTGCGTCACTCGGAGAACAGATGCAGGGCTCGTATATTACCCACCCATATCTACGGCGTGCCGTGCGGTCAAAAGAATGGCGAACGACACAAATCATTCGCCTTTGTGTCCCACGGCTGATTCTCCTCTTTCGCCTCTCTACCGCCGTCTTCCTCGGCCGGCTCTCTCGGCGTTTCTTCCCCTCTCTGTCCGCCTCCCGGTACACGTGTGCCCGGTCGTCTCCCTCGCTCCGAGTCGAAGGGTGGCGGAGTTTACAGCCGAAGTGCGCAGCGCGACTGCCAAAGGGTGCTCCCTCCACCCTAGGGAATTCCTTCCCAATTATTTCCGAGCCCTTACCGAATCTTCCCTACGCTTTCCTCGGTTCCAACCTGCCGACGAATCCACCCCCCCCGTGATTTCTTTCACCGCGGAAGAGGGACTTTACGTGGAGGGGTAGCACCTCGCGCCAAGGTGTCCGCGGGATGAGTCTCGAACTCCCCGTCGGCGCCTTTGAGCTCGGTTTCCAGGGGAATTACGAAACGCAAGTTGGAAATCGACAGGGAAGTTGCCGGAACGGGGCCAAGTTGCACTTGCCGGGGTGCAGGCGCATTCTTGCGGAGTCTCCGTACTCGTAGGGGTTGCGTGCGGCGTCGGGTCGGGGGGTGGAAACGCGCCCCTCGAAAACGCGCGCCGGCCAGGGTTGCTTCCAGAATCCCATAAATCAGGTCAGGGTTGGCGACGGGGTGGCTCCGGGTGGTGGAGGTGGCGCCGAGGGACGAGGGGCGAGGGCGGCTCTCTAAGGGAGGGTTGGTGGGTAAAGGTCGGCGCCCAACGCGCCAGACCGGCGATGCGGCGAATCCTCCCTCTGAGTTTCGCGCCAATTCTTACGGTTTATGATAAAACGCGGTATGGATGTGCTCGAAGATGTCGTATTATTGCACCTTGCTGTCCATTGTCCTGGTTTTCCGAAATTTCTTTATTCCATCGCGAGGCGATATCAACGCCAAAATCGTGTGGTAAAGATGTCAAAATGTCTGGCACCTCCAATGGTTGCCCATTTCCCTCGGTCTCCAAAATTTCCTACATTCGCAAGGTCGATTAATCGTCCATTATCCTCAGTTTTTATCATTATCAGCAATTTTCATAAACTCTAATCGAAAGTGTCGAGACCTTAATTTTTTCTAAAATTGTGCCCTCCCACCCTCCACCCGTCCTTCGTCCCACGCATCGTCAATTGTGGGGCAGAAAAATGCGAAAAGACGGAAATCGATGGAGGCGAAGAAATCGGTGGAATCGGTAAACGGAAGCGGGAGGCTTGCGGAAGCGGCGGGGTCGCAGGGGTGCAGATGGAATCAGTGTAGTTCGGAATATTGGAAAACGTCGATGGCGATGGGCGTTGGGCGTCGGTGGGTGGCCACTATTTATGACGCGTACGTGGTTTCTCGAAACTCCCCGAGACGCCGTGTCTGTCAGGAGACGTCCTCGGAGCAAGGGGGAGGAAAAGTACCGAGTGAAATCCCGCGGCACGACCGGAACGCCTTCCAATCAATCCGAGCAGAACCCCGCACAGAGTGCATCTCGTAACCGACGCCCCGAGACGTCCTCCGGTCTTGAGGAAATCGTTCCGACCGATCCACCGAATCAAAAGGACCCAGACAGCCGAAAATACCCGCTCTTTCTTTCTCGTCCCGATTAATAAGCCATTCCCTGTAGTCGCCACGAGGTTAGATCCAGTCGCGGCCAATTACGTCAATTCCTCGTCATAACTGCGTCCCGCGGTCGATAAATCGTTAATCGGCGTCTAGCGTCGCGACCGAAGGGACGGCCCCGTGTTTTTATCGAGGGAACGGCTACCGCGTTAAGATAGGAGGGCTATTCCGAAAGTCTGGGGCGAATAGACGCTCCACTTGAGAAAACAGGAGCCGCATTAATTAATTCCCCTCCCCGCGATAGATCGAGTTCCCCCACGTGGACCTATAGCCGCCTATCGAGGGCCGCCCCAGGTATCCCCGATATTAATATCGATCCGAGGGTCTCGATGACCACGACTCGGCGTAAGGGGCCCCCGTCATGGGCGTCGTTCGCGTTCCTCGTTTTTCGGAGAGCCCAGCTCGGATTAGCCCGGAGCTAACGACTTCGAAAATTCGTCCTCCGCCCGAGATTTAGTTCCCCGGCACCCGGCCTCTCCCTCGCCGACCTCGGGGAGGTTGACAGATTAAAGACGAGAAGGCGTCGCGACGAGGATGGCACTCGATTGATTCATTGGACGCGCGTGCCCGGCTTCAAATCACCAGAATAGATCCGCCGCCGTGGAATGTCGGGCCCACGGCTAATCCATCCTGCGTCTTTATTGCTCGGGGACATTTATAAAACGGGACAGGGGAGAGGGCCGAGCGGGACGGAGAGATGCGCCTCCCGAGCGAGGGAGGGAGACCGACGAGAGCGCGCGTCGCCGATTATAAATCGTGAAACTCTACGGCGCTCAGGCCAATCCTGTCGGACCTTTATGCCCGCGGCTCAGCCTCGGGAAAACGAAAACCCGGGGTGGACATCGAGCTGCCTGAAATATTGCCCCCGAGGAGTTTAGGCCCCGGTCGAACCTCCAGGATGTTCCATCTTGGACGAAAGTTAGACCGCACGGCGAAGACAAAGACGGTGGCAGTAAAGATACAAAAAATGCTTCGAGAAGCGTTTCATTCATCAACCCATTTTTGCACATCTACGTACATTTGTATATCAAAAGGCAGGCACCCTAACCTAAAATTCGAGTGGAACGGTGAATTAAAAAAACGTACGCTTAAAGGAACAGAAATAAAACAGCCCCACGCGCCGACATAACGCGTACCATTTAATTCTCTTTAAACTTCCCCCCCTTAAGCCGGATTTCACTCTCAGCAAGCCCCTCTCTAAATCACATCATTTAATAATCCGAGCTTTTCGCCGCCCTTAAAGACGCGACCCACCCATTCCGAGGTATTTCAAAAGACAAAGGCCCTTATCTTCAAAAGTCGCGAATTTCCTCAGGGCGCCGTCACAGGCGGAGCCAGTTAGCGAATCGCGAGTAGAGAAAGAAGGAAGGGAAAAAAATAAAAGAAAAAAGAAAAAAAGAAAGGAATAAAGAAAACGGTCGAACCTTTAGGAGGCGCCCTAACCTCCGTCAGGGCGAGGTCGGTGGAAAACGAGGGCGCGAGAGGCGAGGGGGTAGGATAGGATAATTACATTCGCCCCTGCGACCAGTTTATTTAGAAAGGCGAGAGAGAAAGGGAGACAGAAGTCGAGAGATACAGGGAATCGCGTAGGTGTGAGGGTAGAAAGAGATGGCCCTGTCTGTGCGGGAGGGAGAGGGGCAGTAACAGCAGATAGGTCGGAGAGCGCTTCGTAGGCGAAGGTGTAGCGGAGATAAGGTGCTCGTTGCGTTGAAGCGTCCCTCGGCGGCCGTCCCGTAGCGTCCCGACGCCCCCTTG